CAAGGGCTGTGCATAATAGAGCTGTCATATATTCTACTCTTGCAACTTAGATTTTACATGAACCAAGAGGGAAAATTGGAGTCAGGTCAGTCTGACAGCATTGCCTGTCTCTTTCACAGGATTCATGTGGATGTTTTACCCTGAACAACATTTCTGTTGTAATTGGTCTAAGAAAGTTTTAAAACCTGGTACTTCTCTCCTCTCCTACGCTAAACTTTTTGTCTTTGTTTTTTTTCTTCTTTAGAACAAGCACTGGTTAATTCGACAAGCAAAGACTCCGATGACGAACTCTTCAATACAGTTTCTTGATGATGCTTATAGAAAGCGGTAAGAATTTTTTTGTTGCTTAAGATTTCTACTCAGAACTTTTATTGTTTTTTTTAAAAAAGAAAAAGGTATTTTTTTAAAGGGTTGTTATAAGTCTGACAATAGATGTCAAATTACCTGTAATAGTTCTCTGGTATCTGTCTTAGCAGACCTGACTTCCTGTTTACTTTTTTGCAAAGGAACTTGTCATTGTCTTCAGAAATATTTTGCTCCCAAATGCTGCCATCATTTATCATAAAGACTATCATGTTCAGTGTCTCTACTGCTTCTCTTTCAGTGCACAACAGGTTTTCATAAAAAATGGCCTTACCTTCTACTTCACTTGAATTCCAGATACTTACGTGATGTACATCACATGCGATTGATTTATCTGCCAGCTAATGTGATTTATTAACCTTGGCTTTCAGTCTGTGGTTTTTTTACATGGGAATATATGTAAATACCTGTACATACCTGCCTTTTTACAGGGCAGGTGCTTGATTCCTTTTTATAAAAGGGCATGTGGGGAGTAATGTGAAGATACAACTTGTTTCCTCTTTTTAGTAGATAAGAAGGGTATTTCTTTACACTGTAGGTGTATTTTCTTTAAAAGCTCTGAAATAAACACAAGCTTAACTTTTAAGTGTTAAACTCCATTTTGAGTGGTTATGAGGCATTCGTTTGTCACTTTAGAGATGGAAAACCAAGTTTTTTTTCAGGCTCTTGCTTTATAAAACATGAAGGTAAAATTATGCAACAAAATCTTAAATGAAGCCTGGAGACAACAGGATCAAAGAAATTAATAACTCTAGTTAATTCAGCATAATACTAGTTTGTGGAGGCTTGTGACGGATTTATCAGAAGTACTCACTTGTCACAGGGTTTGCTGTTGAGACAAAGGAAAGAATAACTTGTAGCCGTTCGAGGCTTCAGATACCCTGGAATAATGGACCGCAATATTACATAAGTAATACAAAATAGCTGATGTAGTTTTCAAGCATAAAGGATCCCATACACACAATTAAATTCATGGCAGTATTGATTTTTAACATTAAAAACTACATATAAAGATTTAGTAACAAGTGACCTTGCAGGAGATAAGTCTGACTCTTTCCCACCATGTTGCTTCAAAGTTGGTCTTGACTGTCTCCAGATAAGAAGTAATCGGCATTTTGGCGTCTTTCTCAGACACTACAGAATAAAATCAACAAGAACTGAAGACAAACAGTCGTCTTCTATCTGAAATTGCAGCCTCAAAAAGTGCAGTGTAGTAATCTATGAAGTTTGTTTTCAGAATTTGCAAGCAAAATAATCCACCTACAGTACATACACGGTTGACTTGAAGCAGAATACGAATGTCCTGCCTGCAGTCAGAATTATTTTAAATTTTTCATGCTGTAATACGAATTACTTTGTTCCTGTGTAGGTGGCAAACTCTGCTGTCAGTAGATGACCTGATAGAGAAACTAGTGAAGAAACTGGAACTGAACGGAGAATTAGACAACACATACATCTTTTACACATCAGACAATGGCTACCACACTGGTAAAATTTTCACTGCTTATGAACAGTTGTAGAAGATCCAGGAATTGCATAACATTTCACCCTTGTGACCACTCCAGAAAACAGGAACAGCAGCTGTGGAAAACTGTAGACATGAGAAGTACTGATCTGAGTTGCAAAACGATCTGGAGTTGCAGTGTGGGGTGTTCGGGCATTTTATTTTTTGTTTGCTTGCGGTTTTTAGCATTAATGCCTACCGCTGTATCCCAGTATACATAAAATTAGGACAGAAATGGAGGAAGGATCTCTGTTCTGTAGAGGCAGAGTTGCCATGAAAGAGCTAACCAGTAAAAATCTGTCAAAGACCTGTCTATATCATGTTGTACAACTGAAAATGCAGTAGCAAAGCTGTTAAACTTTGTAAGATATGGCTTACACTTTGAAGTTCTTTGTTCCTATCCTCCACTTTATTAATGTAGTTCAGGCTAAGAACCTCTTCTGACTTCTTAAAAAAAAAAAAAAAATTTGGTTGCTGGAAATTATGTAACACAAGACTCTTAAAACGTAAAACACGAAGCCATTTAACTTTTTCCATTTTCTATTGTATAGGCCAGTTTTCTTTGCCAATAGACAAACGGCAGCTGTATGAGTTTGATATCAAAGTTCCATTGCTAGTTCGAGGACCAGGGATAAAACCAAATCAGACAAACAAGGTAAGAAAGAAGTGAAATCAGGGTATGGATTTATTTTTAATATTGTGACACAGTTATCAACTTTAGGTAATAATTTGTCCTCCTGCATACGTACATCTCAATGAAATATCTGGAGTGGTAGAAAGTGCAAAGACCTCATTCTAAAAAGCTGTGTGTTTTTGCTTGAATCAGTAAATTTAAGTAATTGCAGGCCAGAAAAGTAAACAAAGTGTGAAGCTCACCTTCCAAAGACCCTGCCATTGCTTTCGAATGTCACAGGGTCCTTTAACCTATAAAGCTGAATTAAGTAGTGTTTAGGGGTACTTAAAATACAGAAGTATCATTATTACATCTGTTAGGTTCTGGTCTTCTGAAGTAAGTTTTCCTCACCCTGCAGATGCTTGTTGCAAATATTGATTTGGGTCCCACTATTCTGGATATCGCGGGGTATGACTTGAATAAGACCCAGATGGATGGGATGTCACTATTGCCACTGTTGGTAAGTAGATGTACGGTGATAGTAACTGGTAATTCTTGCAGGGGTTATTCTTCACAGTGAATATGACTTCCTTTGATAGATTAGGTCAACTCATAACCCAGATTCTTTCCTTGATGTCATTTTCACATGGGATGTTTGTAGCTTAGTGAAAAAAAGTAGGTAAGTAGGTATCTTGTTTAAATGCCAATGTATTTTTATAAGCCCTACAACTTAGTGGTCATTTTGTAATAGAAAGCTCTGTCATCCTTTGGCTAATACAGCCATTTGTAATAATTCCTGTTTTGAGGGCTGTGTGTTGTTTCCACCTTGCATCCTCCCTCCCCTTTTCCTTATGATTTCTCAGCATAGGCAGAGAAAAGCAGACTGCTCTTATTTAAATCTTTTGTTTCCCTCAGTTTTCAGTAGAACTAGTGTTTCCCCCTAAATTCTGGAAAAATGCATGTGGTGTTTTATAAAGTAAATCTGACCTTTCCAATAAGTGAGCAGAACCCTATTTAAATAAAGCTGCTTGCAGCTGATCCTTTTAGTTTTAATTAAATTTAGTCTATAAATTGAAGGCAGCTTACCTGGAAACGTAGGAGATCATCCAGATTTAAAACAGTGCTTTGCTTTTAAAACCTCGTATCCAAATCTTAAGCTGTTCTTTAGACAGAAGCAGGTAAAAGGCATCTAGTTTAAACTGAATGGAATCAAAACTGTGAAACTCATTGTTTTTCTGTATATGCCTGTGATGGTGCTATATATTAACTTTAAACTTCCTTCTCCCTCTGTCTTTTAAAATGCAGCTACAAATAGTGCAGCTTAAAACTTAGTTGCTTCTTAAAGCTCTTTATCTTTTCTTACACCGAGGGTATCTTTTTTCCATCTGTTGCGGTAGTCTGATATAAACCAAAGTGAAACAGCCTCGTTACAGGGATCTTGTCTAATATAGTATTATCTGGCTGTGTGACTTCTCTTGGGTATTACTGCACGGTTCTTTATAAATTGAAGATAGCACTTTAAACCCTTACAAGAAGGTATGCTAATATTTTTGGAGTTGGAACCTTGTCTCCCAGTTACACAAGACATTCTAACCTAAGGCTAAATATTATTTTAAGGCTGACTCAAACTAGGGACCAGAACTGAAACTGCCGTGTAAGCAGTGAGCAGTGTTAGTGTTATACCAGGCATGGAGGATTTCTTCTGTTTCACAGTGCAGTGGATACTAAGTCAAGTTAACCTCTTCTCCTAGAGAGGAGACAAAAATGTGACATGGAGATCAGACTTCCTGGTGGAGTACCAAGGAGAAGGATACAATGGCAGTGATCCTACCTGTCCTGGCCTGGGACCTGGAGTCACGGTAAGCAAGACAAGATCTGTTACATGTCAGAAAATAGCTGCTGAATTAAACCTCTTTGCTGTGTGGACTAACCTGGTTCTATAAGTTAGCTCCCAGTGTCTTGGTAAGTAGGAGCTAGCTCTGTAGGTCCTGTGCAGCATTTAATTGTAGAGGGACATCCAGCCATGCGGAACTGATGTGTCCATATGACCGTACAGAACACAGTCACCCTCTCAGTGGGAATCTACAGGGCCTCAGGGATGCAGAAATAGGCAGGAAGGTGTGGGCTTGGCAAAGTGGATGGCAGCAACATCATGTTCTTTCTAAACTTCCAGTGACCTAGTCACAAAATTCTTATCTGTATCTATTATTTAAGTCACTAGCTACTTCCTGAACCAAAGAAGGTTTGCTTTAAGTAAAGCATCCCATTGGTGTTGTCTTTAGTAGTGTGCGTTGTGCTGTTCTCTTCAGTGTATTTACATTTGCTTCTCCAATGAAATGCGTTGAGTTATGATGAGTTTAACAAAACTTTCTCAAGTTTTGAAAAGCTGAATTTTTGCTTAAAATCCCCAGTGGAGACTTGCATGTGTTAGACGAAGATCCTGGTGTTCATCAGTTAACTGCAGTTAGCTTGAGCTGGTGTAGACTCTAGGAAAAGGATTGCTAGTTCTTTTTTTTTTCTTTTTTTTCTTGCTCTGAAGTTTTTGTTCACTGCTCACTTCATAGCATTGCTTCCCAGACTGTGTCTGTGAAGATTCCTATAACAACACATACGCTTGTGTAAGGACACTGTCAGCTTCCTGGGATCTGCAGTACTGTGAGTTTGATGACCGGGAGGTAAGTCTCTGTCTGACTAGCAGATGTCGACTGTTCGCAACTGTGCAAGCAACTGTCTGCATTCTTATCTACTCTCAAGGTTTCCATAAAATACTCCTAAAAGCAGATTAGCATTGCTTGTAGGATAAACAGTGAAGTATTTATCTACTGGTGAGAATGTTTGACCAAAACTCTGGTAGGGTTCTTGGAAGGAAAAAAAAAAAAGGAGGGGTGGGAGAGGAATGAGGAAAGGACAATAGCCTGAACTATGACTATTGCCTTCTGTTATCACCGACAGCCTGCTGGGGCTGGCTTCAGTTCTCTGTCCTACCTTAATTCCATGTGGCAGTGTTTTCTGTATGACAAATATTTTCTGTTGCACTGTGCCTCTGCTGTTCTTATGTTCAGCAGCAGCTCTTTCCTATGGGAAGAACTGAAATCCCAGGCTGGTCATTTCTCTTCTCTCACTCACTTGCCTGCCTGGCAAAACAAGTATTTAAGTGACAACTGTGAGAAAGGTCTCTAACCGTATCGTCAGTTGGTTGGGTATAAGGGACATGATGTCCCCCCTTCAGAAACTGTTCAGATTTCACTAGTGGAGCACCTGCTGCATACACAAAACTTGGTTTGTTACAGGGTGGATCTTTACTTGTGCCCGTTTGCACACAGGTCCTCCAGAGAGCAGATTGGGTTTGAGACAACCAGGTCACAAATCTAATAAACTGCATTGTCAGATGTGCAATAAATATATAAATAGCGGGTATCCCCAGTTATCGTGCCACACAACATTTTCTGGTAGTCTGCAATGAACGACTAAAACCAGGGGAGTAAATACCACAAGATGGTTTTTGCAGTAAGATAGCAAGAAAGACTGTATAGGAGACCAAGATGCCAATTAGCAGACCCTGCCCTTTGTTTTTCTACTTTGTGATAATTTATCATAAAGTTAAATGAGTGGTGCAGCTTTCGTTATGAAAGCAGACTCCAAAGTTGGTCTGATAATACACTTCATGTCACTTTTTTATTTCCAGTAAGAAGCTATGCCTGTGGCATTTTTGGGTCACTCAGTTTACCTGGGTCAGCTAAATGAAGACTAACAGTATTCGGAAGATGCAGCAATGTGGCTTTTAAAACCTTGCAGTGAACCTTACAAGAGAGCTTGCAACTGAAGTCTGTCCGGATGCATCTTTATCTAAGTTAGACACAACCCAGCCAGTTCTAATCAACATCATCTGCAGTCAGGCCTCCTATTCTAGCACAGACAAAACCTCAGCCGAATTCTTGAGATATGTTTGACTAGTATTTGTCCCACAGAATGCTTCAGAGATCTAATGTACCAAAAAACAAATCTGCCCTGAAATCCTCCAGACAAACCTTCTCCAAGCACACGAAAAAGCTTCCTTGTATTAGGGTTATAGCATACTTGTATTCAGCATATTTTGTACATGTAGTCAAGACACCTGTCTGAGTTTGACAGCTGGAAGTACCCAATAAACACATAATGGTGATGTGATGGTCATGAAATTGTGTATTTTGAGATCCATTAATGAAAAGACAGCTTAGCCACAGCCTCTTGCTGTGGTTTTACAGCTGTAAGACAGGTTCCATTTGTGTGTTAGAAAAAAAATCTGCATTGTAGCAGGTAGTACTTCAGGTGGAAGTAAAAACTTTTCCAACAATACTATACTATCACAAAACTTCAGCTTTACCGACACACTATCCTGTCTTTGACCACTGAGCCACATGGCCAAATATAGCCTATGTGTGGGGATGCTGCGGTGTAGTTGAAAATAACGTTTGAGACTTTATGCCGCCATAAAGTGTTCTTCCCAAATAATATGATTAAATGTTAATTAGCATTTAGGACTTAATACAGTGCAGGAACTTTCTTCTACAGGTGTTTGTGGAAGTGTATAACTTGACTGCAGATCCACACCAGATCAATAACATTGCTAAAACAATCGATCAAGAAATTCTAGAAAAGATGAACTATCGATTAATGATGCTGCAGTCCTGTTCAGGAGCAACTTGCCGTACACCAGGTGTCTTTGATCCCGGGTAAATGCCAATTCAATTCATTATTATAATACTTTAAATATAAATACTTGTAAATGTAACTATATTTTCAAAATTAAGCATTTACAGAGGATATTTATGATGGAATATAATATTACTGACATATGTACTGTTGTTTAATAGAGATGCTTTCTTGATGCTTTTCTTTTTTTATTGTTTAATCTCTATTTTAGTTTAACCTACCAAATATAACTTGACGGTATTAATACTACTACTTTAATCTTGTCATCCACTGTCGAATAGCTGAAGCTTACAGCTGTGCTGAGTGGTCAGAGACAAGTGACCTCAGGTTTGGCTGCAAATAAGGAAAAGCTCTGCAGGTTTCTGTAGGCAGGAATTTCCCAAATACTTGCTCTGATTGTTCCTGGCGATGCTGTTAGTAAAACATGTTTCCCTTGGGACCTAAGCTGTATGTATTAGGCAGCTGTTGTAAGCAAACAGCACTTCTTACCTCAAAATTCATTTGGTAATCACTTGGACTGAGGCTTTTTTAAGCACTGTTTAAAATGTCCCTACACTTGTGCTACATAAGCTTGTAATTTGAGGCAGCAGAGATTTCTGTTAGAATGCATCCCCTGAATGCTTAATGTTATACGTGCCAGTATGCTGCTGATATGTTGTAGTTAGTATTTATTTCTTTGGAGACTATCAACTCCTTAGCTGTGTGTCATTATAATTAATCTGGTGTAATATTTTGAGAGACTACGTCTACTGCATACTGTTAAGAAAGCAACTATTCACATAGCCTTGTACCAGAGCTGTTCTAGAAATAAGCTATTTCTAGAAGTGTTGGTCACTGGGCTAGCTGTAGCTTAAAGACTCTGTTCCTTTCTATAGGTACAGGTTTGACCCACGGCTCATGTTCAGCAATCATGGTGTTCGGGCTCGGAGGTTTTCTGCACAGTCCTTGTAAGGCACTGAAGAGCCTCTTGCATTCAGCTCCCACTGACCAGTTTCTCCAGTGACTGCAGCAGGTCTGTCTCTGTAACTCTCGCTGATTGGAGCTGGAAGACTTTTAATGGGCTATTCAAACCCTGTTTGGAAGAAAACCCCTTGTCTTTAGCTGGTTGCCTTGTGCAATATGTATATTTTACAGCTGAACTGTAACTCTAAATCATTAGACACAGCTAATCTGTCTTGCTCAGATAGTTGATTACCACCTTTGTCTTTCAATACCTTTTCATATCACAGACACAGAGGTGAACCTTGCCTATGAATCTGAACAGTTTATTTTTGTTCTAAAAATCAATAAATATGTATTTGAGTTGAGTTAGGTAGGCAGGTGCTATTGCACAGTAATGCTCACCCATATTCAGCGCCATAGACTTTCTTAAAAGCTATTTTTAATTATAGGTTTCCTGTATGGAGCTCAAAGCTGTTAATGACAACAGCAAACTGGCCCAAAATAGCATAGAAAGGCATTAGTCAAAACTGTAGGATCTGACTAGCAAGTGTCTTGTGCGGAATTAAAATCCATATGCTAAACGTTCTCTTCCATCGAGACCACTTCAAATGAGACCAATGAATTTTGCAGGACAGCTTTGGTAGATCGCAAACAAGAATGTAATTTGAACCTCCTTCTAGTTTGAAATGCTAGAGTGGGTTACTATGTACTACTGAAGAAACTCTTAGGGTTTAACATAGGCTTCCTAGTGAGTTAAAAGAGTGTTAAGACTAACAAGTATTCAAATAAGCGTGCCTGTGTCTTGAGCTAAATCTTAATTTTGTTTTAATACATGAAAAGAAGTAATACTAAAAAAAAAAATTCCACAAAAAAAAACCCAACCCTGGGTACCACAGTCGAGTTGATCTGTCTCTAACCTCCAAATGTCTTGAATTGTCTAACATCTTATGTTGATTAGATTCTTGAAGGTAAATTATTTTGAGATTAAACTAGCTAAAAATAAATAAATCATTGCTCACTAGAAGTTAGGCTAGGAGGGCTATTTTAGGCAGTTTAAGTGCTTCATAGAGTGTTGCTTTTTGGTTGAGACATAACTACTCAGAACTTGCAGTAAGTGGCCTTCACACCAAAGGACTGATGTCAGATGTCTGACTGCAGTACGCTATCACTTGGTTTCCCTTTGGAAGGGTGATGTTGTCTTTTCAACCTTCTGATTAGGTTTATCTGAAATGCAGCTATTGCTTGCACCCAAACTTGAGTATCTTTAAATCTTGAAAAACACCCAGACTTGTGTTAGCATGTATCTTCTGTATAGATTCACTGGCAAAACGCCCTCTAGAAACACTGAATTGTGTCTCTTTTGCAAGACAAGTTCATGTTGCTTGTGGGCAAATCAGCTCTGTTATCGGGCAAGATAATCGTCCCCTTGTCACAGACTGGCACAATTATTTAGTTTTCAGTTAGTTATTTCAGATCTTTTACCCAAATAAAGAGCATAATGATTTCAACTTCTGTCACGTAAAACCATCTACGAAATAATCATTAAGTAGGCAACAAAGTATGACTCTTTCAAAACTGTGAAGGTGCATGCCGGGGCACACAGATCCATAAACTGGATACAAGCAACGCTACAGTAAGATAAGTTGAACTTTCTTGGCTTTTAATTCTGAAGCACGGAAGTTATCCTTCATGTAGCTTGGACTTGCAAACTTCTGTGGTGGTCTACAGGTTAGATTTTATAGAGCTTTTGTCTCAAATCTAACTCATGGTTTCAGATCTCTAGAGTGACCAAATATTTAGAGAAAAAAAAAAAAAATTTCTTGAAAGGTAACTTTTCAGCTGGAGCATCTGTATAAATGTAGAGGTTTTTGGATATTCAGACTACGTACATGCTTCCAAAAACTCAGGACTTTTTCCTCCACTACAACGGTAGCTTTAGCCTGTTTTATGTTTCCCAAGCCTTAGTATTGCCCATCAGTATCCTTCAGACTCTGTTTTGTCTTTACAAACAAAACCAAAGTTGTTTTCATGCTCTCAAGCATTTTCTTGCACACTGAGCTAAACCTAAAGTAGTGTTTTGCTCAGATAATTCTAGAAGCTTAGATTTGTTCTCTGTTTGAACTTTATTTTGGTAGCTGTGTGGAGGCTAGCGTGAAATATGTTGATTGCTGCACGTTAAACCCTCAACAGTTGTATCAAGCCTAGGTACTATGTCAAGTTTCTACTTGATTTAAGTTTCAGTGCAAGTAATGTGCGTTATGTTGCTCCCTAATAGAGAAAAAAAAAACACACCAACTTTGTTATGGGTACAGATGTGTAATTCTAATACTATCTTTTCTTAAAGTGATCTTAAGCCATAACAAGGAAACTTTCTTTTGAATTATTTACTTTTTGCCTAATAACTAATATGAAAGTTGACAGAATTCATACAGATTATTCAGTATGTGTGATCAGATATTTTACCCAAATTAACACTTTTTCTATCTGCACATATGTGTAAAGCATTTTGTAACTAGGCTCAGTAACTTACTGTCAGAACCACACTATACCTGAAATCTGTTGTAGGTAGTAAATGTTGTATTAAATTGAAATTCAGAATGAAATTAGTCAGCCCTCACTTGACCAGAATAGGGGTTCAGGAAAATATCTGCTTCGCTCCCACTTTGGATAAAGACTTAAGAACTGTTCTGCAAAAGCACATATTTGAAGGAAGAACAGGAACCAACAGCTGCCTGCCTTCCATTGCTTTTAGAGGAGTTTGTCACTTGTCTGGTGTCTCTTTCCATGAAGCAGTTACTTCTGGGTATTTTTACACCCTTGAATGAACAGTGTTAATTGTTATCCTTGATGATTAAAGAAACACTATGAAGGAACTTTGATTCTTATCCAGATCTCATTCCCAACTAAGTGATCTGAAAACTAAAAAGTCTTCCTGGATATTCAGTTTCATATGCTATCTGACCATGGCTGTATCTGTACCTTGTTACTGAAGGCATTTGTGTTAAATGAAAGGGCCTTACCAGTGTAGAATTTTAAATGAAAGGGCCTTACCAGTACAAAGTTGGGTTTAGGTAAAATGTGATTACTTTTAATTTATTTTTTTTTAAATCATTATTATCAAAAGAAGAACTGTGAATTTTAATGATCTGATCTGGTTAAGTAGATACTATACAGGGAGAAATACAGTTAATAACTTTATTACATTATTCTAAACCAAAAAACATTCAGTATTGTCACTTCAGTGTAAGTGAATACAGCTAGTACGTGCTTACCCAGCATAGGCCCAGTAAATTGGGCTGCTTCATTTTGATGAATAAAGCTGCAACAGGGACACACATATGCAAGCACACACCCAAAGCAGGTACAATACCTTTTCAATCAAGTTAAATTTAAGACTGGTTCTACAAGCAAAATACAATATTTGATCATAATGAAACAGCTGTCACTTATTGTGATTCAATTAAAATGAATTTTATTTGTATTCCTCTCTTTCTGTATGTGAGCATACTTTGCTGTAGCATGTTGTGAACGTACTTCTGCTGTTTTGAACATTTGTTTAGAAAGTGCCCTTCCAGAGGACCCTGTTCACTGCTGCACTTTTGGGGAAAGAAAAAATAAACTGCCTATCAAACTTCCTATCTTTCTGTTACTGAGCTTCAATTAAACCTTTCCACAGAGGATCAAGCTGTGTCACACTTGTAAAGAATGAATTCCTAATTTATAAGCCTGTTCTCTGCATACTGCCCTGCTACTTAACCATGGCCACTACTGAACTTTTATATGGTCACAGGGAACCTTATATACAGTGTCTAGCAAGACAACACGACTGCTTTGCACCACAAAGAAACACAGAGGTGAGAGTACAAATTTAAATACAAGCTGTACTTGCTCATATTTCCTTGGAAACTGATGTAGTTGAATAGATGGAAAACTTTAACAGAAGAGACAATGGAGAAACTGCTGTTCATAATTAAAAGCAGTATGTTTTGCCTTTGGAAACAGGAAGAATAAAATCCTACAAAAGGCTTTTTCCAAAATGGGGACTGTGAGCTACGTGCTACTTGCTACTTACTCACCTCCATCCCTGTTACAGAGCTGAATTCCTTGGATGATTCTGTGCAACTGTTTAAAAAGATACACACAACTATTTTCTGAACTATAGAGCAAGGTGATTTGGTACCTTTAACCTATTTAAGTCTGAGGCTTTCACAAGCTTATAAAACAAGTATTTCTGTATTGTACTTTCATTTCTGCTTAACCACGTGGTATCAGTTTCATTTCTCCTTCAGTGATGTAGCAGTCTTCCATTAAGTAGAGAAAAATATTTAACGGCTGCTTGAACAATACTGCTATCTTTCTTTTGATGCTTCAGCCTATGAAATCTATAGAGTTTACTGTAGCACTACAAGAAAAGGCAGCTCTGTATTACCTAGATACACTTTCCCATCGTGTTCAAAGACGTCACTGACAGCCCAAGTGACACTACCGTCAGGGTCATGGAAGCTTGCCACAATGTCTCCTTTGTCGTTGATTTCTAAGAACAAGCCATGTTTGTGAAGAAAAATGCTGTAGAATGATAAAGGAGTCACCTGTTCTCAAAAAAGAAATACACAACGTTAACACTTCATTCAAGGGGTGGGGCAGAAATTCCATGACTAGAACCAAATGGCAATGCTAATATATTGCTTTCCAGATGTTGCTCTACTAAGATTCAACTGTCAGTTAATCTTTTGATAATATCCACTAGACTGTGTCTAAAGCTGGCAGTTCAGTAATTGCTCACTAATCTTAAAGTACAGCCAGTGCCTGCTTGCTCAAGAAGGTGTGGAAGTTGTCTGAACTTATTCCAGCTGCTAAAAGCCACCTGTTTTCTAAAAACAGGAGTAAGATGGACTTGATGGAACACCACTAAATCACCCACTTCAGTGTTTTTCCTGTGCAAATTCTAGGTAAAAGGCAGCATGGTTCCTAAAAAAAGTAGCATGGTTAATCATAACCAGCTCCATGACTCTTGCTCATCAAGAATGACTTTACAGGGTTTGATTCCTAGAGCAAAATCCTCATATTTTCTGTAAGAGGTTCTTCACCTGCCTTGACAATATCACATTGCTATAAACGACAGGCTGAGAGCTTGTAACTATGGACTGCTTTTGTCAATACTGATTTTTCTCCTTCATAAATTTCTACTTCTACTCTATATTACCACAACAGTAAAGCTGATGTGTTTTAATATGTAAAAAAAGAAACCAATCCTCAAATGTTCTGAAAAATCAAAGTTAGTATGTGTTGGTGTGCTGGCTGGTAAAGATGAAGCAGTCTCTTGTGTTTCCTAATGAAGAATAACAAGTTCTTTCATACTTAAAAAAATTAACGTTTTTGTGACACTGATAGTTGATACTACACAGTGTCAAAGTTACCTTTGCAATAAATCTCTTCAGGAATGGATACGGTCCTAAAGCATCCAGAAAAGGAGAAAAGAAACTAGGAAAGCGAGTAGTAGATATTCCAACTCTGTATAAGCCTGTGTTTGATAATCTGATGTTGTCTGGATACCCAGGCAGGTTGTCCATAAAAACTTCTTTTTTTCCTGCATTAGCTCCGCTTACCCAATAGCTGCAAAAAGGGAATTTTGTATATGAGTTATAGTGGCTGCTGCAAAATGCAGCAAGCTTAACAGCATGGAAGATCCATCATTTTTATTCATGCAAGGCATTTTTCAAAATACAGAAAAGGACTCTGCAGGAAGTAGTAAATGCAAAGAGGGGCTAAAATTGAGTAACAATGATTGGTCAAAAC